GAGTGGTCCATCCATTGAATCTATGTCTCTCTAGGGATATGGATGTCATGCGGGACAGTGTCAAATGCCTTGCACAAGTCCCGGTAGATGACATCTGTCGCTCTTCCCTTCGCCACCAATGCTGTAACCCCATCATAGAAGGCCACCAAATTTGTCAGGCATGATTTGCCCTTAGTGAAGCCATGTTGTCTGTCACCAGTCACATAACTCACAAAACTGAGAAATGGTTATCTTGCATACTCATGACTGGAAGCCTTGAAAGCTGAAGAACATCCTGACTTCTAGCTGAATGGCTGCAATTTTACCAAAAAAAAAATACTTTTTAATAAGACAAATTTTAAAAAAAAATCTGCTGGAGTTAGAAAAAAAGCAGATGGCTGCAGATTGCCTACTATCTTCTCTGCTTTGATCCTAAAAGCCTGAGCACTGCTCTTGTAGAGCTTAAGAGCACACTCAAAGCTAAAACAGTATCACTGGCAGCACTGTATTTAAGGAACAAGATGGTCTGCAGCACAGAACATTTTGCATGGACGCAGCTACCAGACCAAACAGAAAAAGATTTCCCATATGTCAAAGATCCTCTTCTGGAAGAGGGAAAGGAAGTGCTGAAAAAGGTTTTTTCTACTTAGACACTCATGGGGACAAGATTTTTAGTAAGATGGTTTTTTTCCTCTCCAAGTTAAGTAAAACATTGAGACTAGTAGAAAAATATCTATTTTCAGGATGGAGATCACAATCTTTTTTTTCACATTTGATTTCAAAAATTACATCTCAACTCCTTTAAGAAGACTTGAGGAGACCACCTAGAGTTTTCCCAACATGACAAAAAGCCTGTTTTGGAGCTTTACATGTAACATAACACGATTAAAATATGTTAAATACTAAATACAGACTGTCCTAACACTTATAATTCTTCACTGCTTTTCCTCAGTAATTTTTCATCCATTGTTTTCAAAAAATAAAATAAGCCTAAAATATTTTGACATTTCAACAGATTAAGTAAAGCCCAGTCATGTAATAGTAATGAGTTTCATACAGGAACACAATGGTTGAAAGAACAAGGCAAGTTTCATAAGGCTGGTAGATGCAACTATTTCCAGGTCTGAAATATTTACATTAAGGAAAGGATTTTAACTTAGAGAAAATTAAGGTTTCACTTGGAAGTAATTTAATTTAGTTTTCCTGCAGTGAAATAAAAAAATTAAAACAGTTGAAATTACCTCATCAGCTTTGCTTACCATTTACAACAACTGGTATGTCTTATCTTTTGTAAAACACTAAGGTGAAAACATAAACAATACATATGCAGATAAAAAAAAAGCTATTAAAATCTGTTATGCAACCATTTACATTACATAAAATTAACAGCTGATAAAATTTACAGTAACTTAAAATTACCTTTTTCCTAACTTTTGCATATAAAAAAATGTTTACTACATCATTTAAAACCCAATATTTGAAACCTAGTGTCACTCCCACTAAGAACCAGTGTGCTTCGGCTAGTACTTTTGCAAGATCATGAACAGACTGCTATGCAGACTTTTTTTTTTTTTCTCCTCACAGTCAGTAGCTCCCAGTTATCTTGAGGGAAGCATGGTATTTAATATATATTGAATTACAAAGATTGTTACTTACAATTAGCTGTTTCAAGCCTACAAATGACTGTTCTACAGAGTTGGCATTTAAAACTTGTCTCTTCACTGCAGCTTGCTCCCCCAAGAAGCGAAGCATTAAATCTTTTACTGCATCTCCCTTGGTGTTCATGGAACAGAAAAAGAAGAAACATAACAAGACACTTTTAAACATTATTTTAGCAAAATAAAATGCTGAATTAAAGCTGAGCAACATAGTTTTTTTCCCCCCTTGAGAAATGCTTATTTTCCAGTACTTTTTGTGTGAAATGAATATCAATGCATATATATTTACAGCATTTTAATGAAAACTTCTAGATTTACTCCACATTATTTGCTATATTGCTTTTTTCAATGTTTAGGCTTCAGTTAGCATAGAAACATTCAGGCTTATTTGCTTCTCGTATTATTATCCTTCAAAGATCTTACAAAATACTCTTCAAAGATCTTAGAAAACACAGTTAAGTTTTAATATCCATTATGAAAACCTGTAACATTGAAAGGTGCAATCTACTGATTGAAGATAAACGTGCACATGATAAGCTAGACTTAAGTATCCACAGAAAATACACTTTGAGAGATCATAAAATCAGGTAAACAGCAGCCCTTCAACAAGTACTCTTAATTTCAAAAGAATTAACTGCAGGAATCAGTCAGAGAAATTGGTTTATCTGAGCTCAGTAATTTGAAGACTAGTTGAGACTGTATCTACTTGAAATAGATTTCTAAAGTTAGACAAGATTAATTCTGCATTTTATGACATGGAGCAGCTAAGAGAAAGAGCGTCCAAATCCAGGTTCTAGTTCCAGCTTTGCTAGTAATAAACTGAGTAAGTCTGTATATGGCATCCTCTGTGCCTTAATTTCCCCTTCTAATCTTTATTCAACTATCGATTTCTGTGCCTTCCCATCTGTTGGCTGACATTCTTGTGGTTCCATTCTTGTGGTAATTCAAGCTTAACGTCAAGCAGCTTCTGAAAACCTGTGGACCACACATCAGCAGACGTTGAAAACTCTGCTACTACTGTCTGCACACTCTTCAGGTACCATGTCTGCCAATACAGAGTGTAGGACAGGGTTCCGGAGGGGTCCTAGCTGTCAGGCCTGTACACATTACTGTATACAGGAGAATTCACTGTAGAATTCACCACATGCCGAAAGCACATACAGAAATTATTTCTGTAAGATTTTTGCCAATCTTATGTTTTTATACATATGTAATCTAGAAAAGTAAATATCTGAAAAGGAAAATTATCAGCAATATATTAACAACATATTTATATTTTTGTTTTTAAACAGAAAGCAATTTATAACCCACATTCAGCCAGGGTAAAGATCTGTCTGGTTCACCATCCTGTCAGTGAATAGCAGATGTTTGCAGAAACAGTGTAAGAAACAGAATATGCTCATAGCAGTTTTTCCCAACTTAAGGCAGCCAGAACTTTATGGTCCACCTGTGCCACGGGACATATTTGCCCACCATTTTTAAACACCCACTAACAGACATACCCCCCATGACATTTGTCTTGTTCATTTTTCGGTCTGTTTTTCTCAACAGAAGTACATCTGAGGGCAATGAATTCTATAACTTTAAATCAGTTACATGGGTTGCAGAACAGTAACTCCTTTTGTTATGCTTATTACTCAACAATTCCTTTGCCATAAAACCCAGCAAATAATAATCCTCTATTTACCTTAGTTCTTTTATGAATTTTAGATCATTATTGTTCTGGCAAGCCAGAAAGGTTCTCTTCATTTTAGCATGCAATATTGAAGATGTTAAAGCAAAAAGTGACCATGCAAAAATGTAAGCATACAAAGGATTATTTCCAAAAATCCCTCTAAAGGAATGTGAAACCATTCACTTGAAGAACTGAGGTAGGAAGGTGCTAGCACAGCGAGCTGGAAGCAAGCCACAAAGCCTTTGCCTAAAAAAAGGTGAACTGCATAAAATACGGTAAAGCTTAGCTATGATAAAGATAATTGTTACTAAATGTTTTCACTTTCCCCATGGACAGTGATGGGAAATATGTTTGCATTTTCTGTCTAGTTTCTTGAGGAACAAGACTGCAACTACTGTTTCACTACAAGGAAAATTTTTACTTCTAATGCTGTCACCTATTGTATGAGTAAACAAGATTTCCATCTTTCGGATGGAAAAGTCTGAAGGATTAAGGAAAGAGAGTGTGTGTAAAATTACATAAATACAAAAGAATTTTTAATTCCTCTCAACAGTACTTTGGAGGAGGAAACATTACATATGAATGTAATGAAACAAAGGACGTCACAACAGTAGACAGTAACTGATGAAGAAAGGCATAATGGAAAGAGCATAAAAAGCAGTATTCCAACTTGTTTCCAAACTCAGAGAGCACAGGTACAGATAATCTGTACCATATGTTATCCAAGATAGTTTAAAAAATAATGTTTCTTGAACGATCAGCAAAATGTAGCACACAGCTGGAAATGAGAACATCGAGTATTTTTCTTTGTGCGACTTACCCATTTAATTTTTAAGACAACACACTTGTAATAAGAACAAACACTTTGAGTGAGCAGGAAAAAAAAAAAAAGAGTGCCAAACTCTTCAATACAGGTCCTACAAAATTTCAGTCCTTCCCTGAAGGATGCTTACAGTTCACTGTAAATGCACTTTTCAACTAACTTCAGCAACCACACGCAGCCAGGTTTAACATCTTGCGTTAACATTTAGCATTAGCAAATTATTCATATCAGTGCTTTAATGAACATTGTTGGAAGCCGATTTAGCATTGAAAACATGCCTCCCACAACATTTCAGTTGACATTTCAAGTACTCTCCAATTATAGTTTCAGTTAAATGCCACAATTTGCAGTACTAGAAGCATATGGAACAATGATACCAAACTAGGGGATGTCAGGCCAGTCAAGATGTGCACTCAGGCCACTGAAAAGCAGTAACTGAAGTGAGGAAAGTTGTACAAACATAAAGCACTTCAAAACTTGTCCCTGCTGACATGCCTTTGTGACTGCTTATAAATTACAATCAATGAAGAAAGCAGCAGGAACCCCCTTTAATTCCACTGATGATTGTACATCAGGTCTTACTGTAGAAATACATCACATGGACATTGCCATAATGTCATTTTCAATTACGTACTAAATGGTAGATCTGCGTACATGCACATGCCCAGATTCAGGGAACCATCAGCACAAACAAGCCTTTAATCCTTGACTGGACTGAGGAAGATCAGAGAACTATTGTAAAAAAGGAGGTTCACAATAAGGAGGACCTCATCCTTGGGGCCTGTAGAAGGGATCATTCCTTCTGTCCATCCCATTAGCTGTCAGGAGAGAAATACTACACACTCTGGAATTACTCATCAAGGTCTAAGGGAATTTTTGGGGAAGGTGGGAAGGAGCCTTCCATTTTTTTTGGAAGGAGTGAAGAAGGAGTAGCTTCCTACTACAGTGTTTTCTTTCATGCTAATTATTGGGCTCTGTGATGACAAACAAATGTTTTAAAAAGTGGCAGCAGCATGGTGTATGTCTAAAACCAGCATAATTTGTTGCTTGTGACAGAAACCTAAGATTTGTCAGATAATTCAGCTACAAATCTGGACCTGCTTAACTCCAGAAACTATTCTGACAGTTCCTGCAGATTGGGAAGTTATTGCAGACTGCTCTCTGCTTGTATTTGACTATTGACTGATAATCTTTGCTATGCTGCAATTAAGGATTAAAGTATCCAAATCCTCAACACCATCTCTCTAGACAACAATTCTATCATCCAGAGACAGACATGAAAGAGTAGGATAAGCCTATTTCAAGAAAAAAAATCCATTATGATTGTTAGCCTTAGCTGAGCAGCCAGGATAAAATTGCTTCCTGAGAAATACTGCATAGATCTGAGTGAAATTTCTCAAATTCTGAAAAAGGTGCTTTACGTCTTCTCACCAGTTGGGAACTCTGACAGAAGAGAAGGAAATGAGTTTCCATTACTATGTCTTTCTCTTCATTATCTCATCTGCAGTTTTCTCTTTAATTTTAGGGTTATCCTGTCCCAGTAGTTTGTTCCAGCACTCAATCTTTCCTACAGGTTATACGTTTCCACTGCTTAGGGAAGATACAAATGATGCACTTCAGTCAGTGTTAACATTAGTAAGAGCACTGTGAACATCAGTGAAAAATGTTATTACCCACCTGCTTTCAACAGTGAATTCCACAAGCAAAGCTGTCCGCCTTCAGACCTTGCGATACAAAATATTGATTTTGTATATATTCCAAATACGACCGCTATCTTTCTAACTAGGACCAGAAACTAACTGAAACTACTTAAAAATACAACCAGCTTTGGATTCTATGGAAACTATCAACACTGGTTTCAACATACCCAACAAATTTCACTATGAATAAATCAGATCTGGTTTTAGCCCCTTCATAAATGAGTAGGCAGCGACATTAAATTTTCTAATAAGGATTGAAACCATACATACAAAGTGACCAGCAGCAACAATATAAAGTGCTATGATATACAGATTATCGGACAGCTCTTATACAGTATTTATAAAATATAATCTTACACTAAGATAGAATAACAGACTCTTACCTGGATATTGTCAAATTTTAATCCAGGCATTGTGAGATTCTCTTTATCTATGAACACAGTGCTGTATTGTTGTGTGGCAACTGAAATTAGAACATTTCTGGTTTCCTCACTAGGAAGCCAAGCATCATTTCTTCTATCTAGTTCACTCATATTTAAGGCTGTGGCAAAAGGGTCATCACTCCCAGCAAAAACAGCCTGGATTTGTGAGAATGGCTTGGGGGACTGAGTTATTCCTAGAGATGATGGAGAACCACCTGCTTCAGGTCTCCCATTTCCCACAGAGAAAGCAGGATTAGATGAAGCAGAAGAACTGTCTCCACCATTGGAAAGAGAGGACATTTGTTCTGGAACTGAAGAGCTTGCATTGGGATTACTAACTGAAATAAAATTAGATGTGGTAAACGAATCAAAAAAATCAGAAGCTAAAGTATTAGTGTTAACAGTATCACCAAAGAACTTGCTTAGACTTGGACTTGGTTGAACCACCTGTGGATTAGACTTCACAGGAGTCTCAATTATACTACTAAAACTGGGAGATTTTACCATCTGAGGCTCAAAACCATCAGGTAGGAACAACTGTGGCTGGGTATTAACATTGTTTGCTTGGCTGAAAATGGTACACACAGGAATAGGCTCAGCCTCAGAAGGTAGTTTGCTAGTACTAGGTGATGATATCTGGTCCTTAGGTTTGGTTTCATCAATATTATTTGGTTTTGTTTCAACAGGAACATTGTTTCCCAATTTTGGTTCCTCCTTCACTGCTTCCTGAATTGATTCGTCTTTTAAAGATGCCTGATCATCTGTTCCAATCTCAGAAATGTCTTTGGGTGTTTCTTCATGTTCAGTTTCACTCTCATTACTTAAAAACTCTTCTTTATCCACTTCTGCTTGTGGTTTTTTATTATCTTTAGCTTCTATTTGTTCTACAATCTCTTGCAGACAACCAAGTTCACCTGTGTCATCTTCACTGTTGTTTGGAGAATCTGAAATAATGACGCTCTCCATCATTTGTTCATTAAGTTTATCTACAAAATTATTTGAATCTTCTGATACAGTTTCATTCCCTTCAGATTCAAATTCATCTCCACCGAGATCAATGGTTTCCTCATGAAAGAGAATTTCTTCCTGAGCTTTCTGTTGAACCGTGTCTCCACTGTCATCTTCATCTGAGGTGTTCTTCGCATCCTTAGCATTACTTGCATTATTCTCCATGGTAGCTGAAGAAGGAAAAATCCCCACCAAAACAAGTATTAGTTTTATTACTCAGGTATTGCTCAAGAGCCCTAGTACCATGCAAATACTGAAAATCTTACTTTAAAAATATAGCCATTTCACTATTTGACATCTTTCATTTAACATCCACCCACAAAATAAATTAATTCTGAAAAAATGCCTATCTATTTTGCAAGTCACAAAAATATTGGGATTAAGGAGTAACTGCCTCCCAGTAAACACAGACAAATAGGTATTTGCTTTCCTGCTCGCAAAGACCACCTCGGGGCCCATTTAAGAAAAGGAACGGGTGGGCTCAATCCCACGGAGTCACGCTGTCACCAGCGCAGGCTGTAGAGCCGGAGGTCGGCCGCGCAGGAGCAGCGCCCGGCGGCGCCAGCGCAAAGTGCGAGGCGGTTGTACTGCTTCCGTCTCCCCC